TCTGGCTGTGTGCTCCACTTCTTTCTGCTGCAGGCATTAGAGTTGAACCCTATGTGTCACTCTGGCAAGAAGTTCTGCTCCTGAGTCAGCTGGGTGGGTCCTGCCTCTAGCCTCTTTGCAGGGAGTTCTGCTGAAGGGCTCCCTGCTGGCCCTGCAGCCTGGGTTGAATGAGGATCCGCAGGCCCCTGGTCGTCTCACTCACCAACCAGGCCTGCGCTCTGGGTCTATTCAGGATCCCACCGGGCCCCGGGTTGTCTCACTCACTCGCCGGGCCTGCGCTCTGGGTCTGTTTAGGATCCCGCAGCCCCGGTCGTCTCACTCCAGGCTTGTGATTTTTTTCTCCTCAAATCTCTTACCTCCCTGCTTCAGCTATAGATCCTGGCCGGCCTCACATTTCAGTCCTGCCTCCCCCTCCTGAGTGCTGGCATCGTACCTGGCACCCTCATTGTTGTCAGCTGCTTAGTTTTTCACCACATGGTCTTTTTATTTGTCTTTTTTTGAGGCAGGGTCTTCCTATGCAGTGCAGACTGGCCTAGAGCCCACTTTGTGCCCAAGTTGGTCTTGAACTCCCAATGATTCTCCTGCCTCAGCCTTCTTGGGACTATAGGAGTGCATGATCATTTTATTTTCAGTCCCCTATTGATTCGCCTTTCACGGATAATTCACAATGTGAATAGTCTCTCCACTGGTAAGCACTGGCAATTTGTCTCTTCAATTAGGCTTCCCAGGGGACTTCAGATTCAGTGCAAGACTGGATTACTCTTTCCTCCTAACCTACTAGTCCTCCACTCTGTCTCTGAGTTAAGATTTCCACATGCAGGACCCCAATTTCCTGTCTCTCCACTGCCTGGTACTCTCAGCCCCAGTCCTGTGCCCCGTGGCTGAGGGCGTCCGTCACAGGCTTCTGTTCCTGCTTCCACTGGCCGGTCATGTGGCAGATCGGGTAGACACAGATACGTCCTCAAGTGGTTGTATGGCTTCCTTCAGGGATTAGAGATTCTTTTCTTTTTCAGAGGGTAGGTCAGGCTGGTTGTGTATTTTTGTATTACATTTTATATATTAATGAGCTAATTTTGCATACTTTGGATCCTTATTTTAAAACTTTCTTTAAATGATAATTATTAAATGACATCCTGGAGTTTTTTGTTTACTGTTTATTTCAGACCTTTTTTTTTTTTGTCATTTTCAGTCAGGGTCTTGCTATGCAGTTCAGGCTGTTTTCTTGAGCTCACTGTGTAGCCCACGCTGGCTTCAAACTTAAGGTCTCAAACTCCTGCCTCAGTCTCCCAACTGCTGGGATTATAGGTGTGCACCACCATATCCAGCTCTTGCTTACATTTTCAAAAGGAAATATTTTTTTTTTTTAACTTTTTATTTTTATTTATTTTTGAAATTGTCTGTGTGTGTGTGTGTGTCTGTGTGTGTGTCCAGCTCAGCCCACCAGGGGGCGGGCTGGCTGGCATGTGGTGCTGGGGGATTGAACTGCAGTCCCTGTGCTTTTAGTTTGTTCTAATAGGTGCTTTAGACCACTGAGCCATCTCACCAGCCCCAAGGAAATATTTAACATAATGAAATTTACTGATTGTTTTTAGTAACAGCTCACAAAATGGAGGATAAATGCTTCACATTTTTTTTGTGGCACTAAGACTTGAACCTTGTGCTTGCCAGGCAGGTGCTGTGATGCTGAGCTACATCCTCAGCTAGTGTTTCTAATTTAGTTATAGAAGTCGAAGGCCTGAAACTTTAAGTACTTCTCAGTGATTACCCACTGATTCAGAGGCAGATCAGAATGCAGTTGTTTTTAAAGTCATGAGGCAGATTATATTTTAATATTAATGCTAATTTAATTAGTATTAAATTAATTTAATATTAACTTAAAGACAAGAGTACAGGTAGGCAACCTAATTTCCTGTTGCTTCTAAAAGACTCTGGGGCTGGTGAGATGGCTCAGTGGTCTAA